TACTGGGGATTGACATTACTCATATCGTGAATTCTGAATAATTAACAATTGCTTAAACTGGAGATTGACATTACTCATATCGCGAATTCTGAATAATTAACCATTGCTTATACTGGGGATTGACATTTCTCATATCACGAATTCTGAATAATTTACCATTGCTTATACCGAGGATTTACATTTTTCATATCATGAATTTTGCTACAAAACTGACAATTTTTCGCCCGGATAATTCTAATGAACTGATTATTCGGTGAGGTATTTGTATTTTGATACTTTTAGTATGTCAACGTTGATGGCAGTAATCATTTGCTTGCCTGAGTTGGCAGCATTATAAACATCATGATGTTTGATTTGATAATGCTAGCGTTGGTGGCAGTATACACATTTGCGATAGTGCCAAAAAAAATCGTTGATGGCGGTGTGCACATATTTGGCGGGGCAATGTCAGCATTTGTGACTATATGCACATGTTTGATGGGGTAATGTCTGCATTGGTGACTATATGCACATGTTTGATGGGATAATGTTAGCATTGGTGACTATATGCACATGTTTGATGGGATAATATCAGCATTGGTGAATATATGCACATGTTTGATGGGATAATATCAGCATTGGTGAATATATGCACATGTTTGATGGGATAATATCAGCATTGGTGACTATATGCACATGTCTGATGGGATAATGTCAGCATTGGTGAATATATGCATATGTTTGATGGGATAATTTCAGCATTGGAGAATATATGCACATTTGTGATGGGATAATGTCAGCATTGGTGAATATATGCACATGTTTGATGGGATAATATCAGCATTGGTGAATATATGCATATGTTTGATGGGATAATTTCAGCATTGGTGACTATATGCACATGTTTGATGGGATAATATCAGCATTGGTGAATATATGCACATTTGTGATGGGATAATATCAGCATTGGTGACTATATGCACATGTTTGATGGGATATCAGCATTGGTGAATATATGCACATGTTTGATGGGATAATGTCAGCATTGGTGACTATATGCAAATGTTTGATGGGATAATATCAGCATTGGTGACTATATGCACATGTTTGATGGGATAATATCAGCATTGGTGACTATATGCACATGTTTGATGGGATAATATCAGCATTGGTGACTATATGCACATGTTTGATGGGATAATGTCAGCATTGGTGACTATATGCACATGTTTGATGGGATAATATCAGCATTGGTGACTATATACACATGTTTGATGGGATAATATCAGCATTGGTGACTATATACACATGTTTGATGGGATAATGTCAGCATGTGTGACTATATGCAAATGTTTGATGGGATAATGTCAGCATTGGTGAATATATACACATGTTTGATGGGATAATATCAGCATTGGTGAATATATGCACATTTGTGATGGGATAATATCAACATTGGAGACTATATGCAAATGTTTGATGGGATAATATCAGCATTGGTGACTATATGCAAATGTTTGATGGGATAATGTCAGCATTGGTGAATATATACACATGTTTGATGGGGTAATATCAGCATTGGTGACTATATACACATGTTTGATGGGATAATATCAGCATTGGTGACTATATGCAAATGTTTGATGGGATAATGTCAGCATTTGTGACTATATACACATGTTTGATGGGATAATATCAGCATTGGTGAATATATGCACATGTTTGATGGGATAATGTCAGCGTTGGTGGCGCATGCCCAGGTTGAACATTACGTACACTGTACAAAGTATTTGATGGCAATATCAATTTGTATATCATGATATGTGTATGAATTAACATAATTATGCATTATTGAAGCGGATTCTCCATTATTCAGTGAGGAATCAGTAATAGGCAGTAATACCCGCATTGATCACGTGACCAAACCACATTATCTGCAAGATATAACTAGAATTTATTTCCTTTATGATACAAAAAACGTTACAAACACTTTAAATGTAGAGGGCGTGGTTTGATTTGTTATCCCACTAAACATTAAAATAAAGGCCATAAGCATTCGTTATACCCCCTGATTTAAATGGTCAAATCAAGAAATCAACTATGTCTATATAAAGTCCACGTGCGCAACCACTCTTGATGTTGGTAGGTCACGTAATTACTTCCGGTGTCAGGTTTCCACTTGAAGCGACAGTATATTTAGCTATGAGAATAGGTAATTGTGATATCCATTGAGATAAGGTTACGAAATATCTTGCAGCGTCATTATAGGATGTACAACTGAGCTTGACGGTCAAGCATCGTAATTAGAACTTACATATGTATGCCACATGTTATTACCAGATAAAAAAGTTTTAAATGGTTGCTGACGAATGATTTCAAAAATCTCTGTTAAACACAATTGGAACTATTT